GGAGAAATGGATCATCTGTGCTTTAGTGCATTCGTTTTCCAGTATTTTGTTTCTCTTTGCTTCTGATTGAACAAATGCGTAGGAAAAGTCGCCGACGTTCTGTCATGAGGAGTTACGTAGGCCCAAGCGGATGATCATAATGTCGATAAATTTCTGTGCTGTTTCTTGTTAGCGGCTGTCTAAGGTACGGTCTGTGATCGTGTATAGAAGTTGAGAATATGGCGTAGGGAGAGTAGTGTGGCCACGACGAACAACCTTGCACCGGTTTCGCGGCAAAAAAGTGTAAGGGAACGGCGCTATAGCGCTATATAGGTTCAGTGACGCCTCCTTTTTTCAGTGACTCCGCCTCCAGACTCCGCCTTCAAGACCCGCCTTTCAGTGAAAAACGAAGCTGCAGGACGAAAAAAAGAAAGAAAAAAAATCGCCACTAATACGGTCATAACTGGGATCGGAATGGGATTCTATCTAAGGCAGTTGGCATGTTTTTTCCATGTCTTTTTCTTCAGCTTCGAGTTGCTCAGAACCTTCTCGTCCATATGCGAACTCTTAACTCAGTATCTGTGATAGCAAATAATCGCGAGCTTTGCCTTCGAAAGAGAGCAAAACTCTCATTGTCGGTGTATATTGCGTGTTCCTCGACAGTCAGATCGACAAATAGATGGTACCACACAGCTACAAGAAGGCCATCGTTGCTCGCCATAGTGCCAGACCCCGAGTAACTACACTGTGGCAAAGCTAGGACACAAGCAAAACTGAGTACTGGGTTTGATCGCCTCACTTGTCCAACCTACAGCCGTGCAATTTCACCTGCACTAGTCATAAAAAAGGTGCTGTCCAATGGCAAACGCTACGGCATTTTGTCATCCGCCAAAATTTGCATCAGGAGCAATGTACTTGCACTTGTTGAAATAAAAACGAAGAAGCCACTGGTCCAAACGCTCGCTCGCGAAGCCATTGGGAGCGTGTCGTTCGTGAGAGAGGGGTCTACTTATCTTTCAGCCGAGATATTACTCTTTAATCTGTTTTCCTCTTCGTTTTATTGAACTGAAACCTTCCCTATTTTTGAATGGAATGACCTAATAAGCAAATGCTGAAACTGCTTTTCATGTATAACGTTCTGCGTTAATCCTGTCGAAAAGGTGTCAAGCATTATCTACCGTTCCACTTATAACTAAATAAATGGTACATATCCCTTACTCAAATGGCGACAAACGAAAAGTAACAGAAATAAGCCTACAATGGTTTATTCAGTTCCGAATTCTATACAATATTCCATGCTCGCCGTGTGGGCGAGGACCGGTCTGCCACTGTATCTCCCTATTTATGTCCCACGACAAGTGTGGGACGTGCCTTTGACGATGGTCACATGTTTTTTTTGTCCGTTCCTGGATTAGATATTGAATATCTTACAATGACTTACATATATTCCTCAAGACACACTTCGTTCCAGATATTCGGACATAACTTTTATTTGGAAATATGAAGAACCGGACGACGAGATGTTCAAAGGAATCAAGAATGTGATACCGACGAAGTGGACCCCACAAGGCGATCTGTTAGGTGACACCTTCATTAGATTAGAACTTTTCGAGTTGGCTTATAGACTGAAAGATTTAAGTTTTATCTTTTGACAAGCATTACGCCAGAACGGCAGAAACTTGGCCGGATGCGTTGCAGTTTCGTGACTAACTCAGCATCTGCGTTGTCCATCTAACCAGGAAAGGTCATCAGGTCAGCCTGGCCATTTCCAATGAGGTGCACACCGTTGTGCGCGTCTTGAGACGGTGAACTCAAATCTGTCTTCAGAATTTGCGGAACGAGTCTCTGAGCGGAGTTATGGAGGGGTTTATCCCCGCATAGTTGTTTTACATGCTATCGCGAGCAAACGTGGAAGCGTCTTTACATAAATGTATGGAGTCCTTCTGAAACGTGGTAGTAGAGCGCAACGGATAGCGAGTGGGTTTCCCCGACGTTTGGATCAAGGTCCCCGGCCGGCGGGTAACGACATTTTTGCATTTGTCCAAGAATCAAGGCCGACTGAGGCTCCTAAACATTCTGCTCGCTCTGCAATCCATCCTCTAAAGGGACCTGGCGATCAGGTTCTTCGTTTGAAAGTGTAGGTACTCCATTCATGGCTGAAATAGTGCTCTGTGCTGTCGCCCCCTCGTAACAAATGTTACAACGGTTTTTGCAACGAAATACCATGATCTCCATGTTCAGCGGGTCAATCTGCCTCTGGGGACCAGTTTCTAGCCAAATTTGACGTTTCGACCTAACCTGGAAAATGTGGGCCATTCTATGGGCAATTAGCAGCAGTCAGGGGTCACCATACCACCGCCATGGATGACTGGCCTAGGGATGGAATTTCCTAGCGATAATAATCAGGAAAGTGATGCAGACGGCACGAATGAATGAGCCAGGTATTGTTCTTTGCGAGAAGGCATGAATGAAGAGTTATCAGCTCGAAGACCAGTCATCACTACTAGGCTAGTAGTAGCATCGCTGTTGGCTATCAGTCAGCCAAATGACTATCTCATGACCCCAGTTTTTTACCCGCCCCCCCTCGAAGCGTTGTAGTATCCTCAAGCTTTCGTGCTATAAAGGTGCCGTCTTCTAGGGAATTTAATCCTTGAATCACGAACATGATAACCTATTTTGCGCAAAAGCACTGTGACCTCGCGCTATCAGGTGTCAAGAGCTTTGGCGCCAGCGCGCCCTGAAGAAGAAAACAGTAAAGAAAGCTCCATAACTCCGCTCAGAGAATCGTTCCGCAAGTTTTGAAAATACTTTTGGGTTCACATCGTCTCAAGAAGAGTACAATGATGTTGCATTGCGCCAAGGCTGACCTGTTGACTTTCCTGGTAAGGTTTAAACCTTCTGTGTGCACCTGGGGCTATACTGAAATGAAAGAAGGACGGGCGCAGCTCGGCTTCAGTAAGTGTGCTACGTGAATGTGCCCGCAGCTGCAGTAGCGTACCACTTTTTCTGCTAAGAAGTAGACTGGAACGGGGTCAGGAGTAGTAGTGGTAACAAAGTGCCCTTTCATATTCGCCCATGCTAACCTCAGTATGCGTCAATACCATTATACGTTCCCGCAGCGAAACACGCACTCGACGGCAGAGAACAAACAGAAGTGAAAGATCGTAGACAGATCGTAGACGAGACAGCACTACCCTTCAACCCATTTTCGTGCAGTTTTGAAAGTAAAAAGTGGCACGCTTTTGCAGCTGCGGACCCATTAACCTCGCCCATGGTATGAACCCATGGAGATCAGTGTATAGTTTGTCTCTCAGGCTAAGGGATGGCATGGGCTTCACTTCTGCGCCGTTTTTTCTTGCTCCCCCTATTGCTGGTGGCTTGTGATGGAAGGGGGAAGCAACGAATGATTGATGATTACAGCCCAAACCTAGGAGTAAGGGAACCTGATGTGCATTATTATTCTATGCAATATGTGCTTTGAGAAAAAAAATGGATTTCCTCATGAAAATGCTGCTTCTATAGCACGCACAAATGGCAGCGCTTTAGCTGATGCTCGTCTGACGCTTTTCGTCACTCACGGTGGCGCAAACAGTATGATGGAAACGGCAATCCGCGGGAAGCCGGTGATCACTATTCCATTGTTCGCTGATCAGAGCAAAAATGCAAAGCTGATGAGTAAATATGGATTCGGTAAGTAAATTTGTATATGTTGCGATGATTAAGATCACTAGTAATTATACTATTCGTGGAATAATAAAACGTACTCCAGGTAAACTGAACTAAAGTGATGGAGCTCTGATCAGTCTCCTTTTTGCTCGTGAAACGGATACCAGTTGCAGACTTATAGCGGTATTTGGACACGACTTGGTCTATACAATGTCATGCGCAAACCACAGGGGCCATCTGTTATCGGCGTGAAATTCGTCAATTCAATCCTTCCCGGCTGGTCTAGCACAAAGCACAAACCAGCCGGCACTATGAAACTTATAACCATCACGTGGTGGCTAAAGCGGCTATTTGGTGGTGAACCTGTACGTGCAAAGCAAGCATAGCCTAAGCGCTAATGGGCTGTGGGAAGCGGATCCATTTCAAGTGCGCCCGCGCTACGCTGAATTGTGAGTGTTTGTCTGCGACATGGACGCCTCTCG